ATAGACTTACCTCCATGTGGTGCACCCTGGGCAACGTATTTTCATACGGTAAAAAAGTCTATTAATCGGCAGTTCATTTCTGACTTCTAACTATCATGACCCCACTGTATGTCATATTCGACCATTACAGTACTCACCTCACCTTTTTTCTACCTTTGTGTCTGTCTGTCTCCTTCAAATCTGTTAATCATTATTCTGTCCCTCCTCTCGACTTTGTGTCACTTTGATGTTCCTCCTTCTCTCTGTGAAGCCCGAAGTCAGCTAAATGGCTAATGATAACTATCAAAACGCCTGCCATTTGAAATAAATAATTAATTAAAACTGATTAAGCGAAAGTAACATAATTATACACATCTTAGTTGTCAAGTGCTTACGTTTGCCTGTTTTCTGTATGTTGTGGTTCCCACGACGTTATGCTGAACAAAGGAAACTCATTCGCACTCAGACAAACTCGAAGGTGCGGTGTGCTACGTGTCACGAAGGGAGTAAGTGCGTCGTGAGCGCTGAGAACCCTCAGCCAGCCACCAACCAATAGACCATGCATTGCTTAGTAAATATTTCATTGTATCTTATAATGACTACGCTCCGTGCCTCATGCACACATCTCAAATAAGCATATTCACGTCATACGTCAGTTTCCTCCATAGCTTTGAGGTAGCTTAGCTAATCCTGGAAGCCTTTTCAAACTAGGCGAACGTGATTACTGAGCACTAGTTCAGGCTTATTAGCGTAGAAATCCACTACTTTCTACAAGGCAGTTGCATATAATGTTTGGAAATATGCCAAATTGGACTATTTTGGAATTTTATAAATTGGAATTCACGATAACTCCGGAAACCTAAATCATAACTTTCACATAATCCAAGACCGCATAAATATCCATAAACGTAAATTTAGCCTACTTATAACTAGACAGAATTATTTTAAATTAACTAATGGATAGAGAAATCCAAAGTTGTTGGTTAATTGAAGATGAAATGAAAAGGTGAGATACAAGGATTCGATTCATCCAGTATCACTCTTGCACACTGTAATAATGATCTATCTTCTCTCACTTTTTTAAAACCTCAGCCTATTTGTGATCAGTACGCTAATATTGAATTTAATAATTGAATATTGAATTTAATTCTCCGAAGAAATGAAGCTACGAATGATCATGCTCATGTACTGCACGATTGCATACTAACTAGAGTTATTCAAAGGAACTTTGCACAGTTAAAATCTTTCTACATAATTAATAACAATGAAGACGCATTACTAAACAGATCACTCAAACGAGAATGGTTAAGTTCTGTGCCTCCAATAAACGGAACTGGACTCCAACTGATCACATCTGAGTGGAGAGCTTTTGATATTAATTTAAAACTTACCATCACAACATAGAAAGTCAAATACTTTATTTCTAATTAGTATTATGATCTTGTGCTACGCAACAAAAACTACAATTTACGATGCTTGGAAACAGTTGAAGCAAGATGGCAGGAAGAAAAATAAAAGCAAACCTCAAGGTATGGAAGAGGGTTACTTCATTTATTTTTTTTGGGTTTCCGATAGTGGAAAGTCAAATGGTACATGCCAACTCTGGATTTTTTGTGCTTATTGAGCAGCAGGTTTTCATCAAGAGGGGTCAGTCTTGGGGCTTATGTTCAGGTTTTCTCCCTATGGTTGAGAAGGAAAATACTCTGACACAATATTCCACGGTTTACAATTTAAGGATAAGAGAGACGAGTTAGCCACTCGTGTTAAGCTAACAGAGTTCGGTAAGATTAACTCATTCACGATGACCTTACTACTTCGGTCAACATATCCATAGCTCAATGCTCACTTTTCACAAGATTGGGGTAGCTACTCTGGTAATTAATATGCGCCTTGATATTTAATGCTTTAAAATACTGCGACGGTCGGTAATATTCTAAAGCACAAGTTTGAAATAGAGTTAGTGCCTTATTATCTTTTCCATTTGTATGGAAAGTTCTTCTTAAAGCAATATACAGGGAAGGCTTTGTTTCAAGGTGCGTTCAAAGTGTTCACACACACAATGCATCAATTAAAAGTTTAAACCCTTCTCCATTACTATACGAGATGACTGGAGTCCACTTAAACGTGGAAGATAATAAAGGGTCCCTATGAAAACTACGAGGATGACGCTAGAGTGGAGCTCTATAGAAGGCCATCTAATCTGATCTGAAAAAATTCTCGAAGAAAATATTTTGAAATTTTTCTGCAAACAAAAAGTTCTGGAGTGCCCTGGCACCTTTCGCCCGTTTCAGCCTCTACCATGAAGCTTACAAACAGTGAGGAACTTTCCTACTACAAGTTCTTACAGGTAGACAACGCAGTGGTCAACTTCTCACAGAAGAGGACAGCAAAAATTGTAGTCTCTCAAAGGCGAAGAAACTTCTGAGCAAAGTGAAACATTCTCTTGAATCACCAATAAACTGGTTCTTTCCAAATGGGAAGAAATCGTGCCAAGATCATTAGCACAATTCCCAAAATGGCAAATATTCTTGCTTACATAGAGTACAAGGGAAACTCGTTGAGCAATGCAGACTCAGTTTGCCCAAACTCTCGGATGGTTTTCGAATGTTTGTGCTCCCCCTCCGCCTTCTCCTCCTCCACCACCGAAGATGATGTGATATCTCTCTCGTTACTTTTGTGTGAAGTGTCTTTTGGTTGAATTTTGGTGTCAACGTTGAATGCTGAGCACTGGCATTGTAGATCCTCAGTAAAATTCGGTCCCCTGTCTAAACTCAGTAATAGTTGTATGGTCTTACCAACCAATTTATGCGTCTGATATCATAAACGCCAATAGTGTTCACATTGATTAAGGCATTTTGAAAATGGATTAATTTTCTTTTCTATTATTTTTTTAGTCGTCTAAATGTCCTTTTGTCGGATTATTATTTTCATTTTATTTTTCTTATTCCTAACATCATGTAATTTAAAACATTACATTCTTAAATAAACCATCTTATTCTTTATCTTGTTCCATTCACTTTCTTAATTTGAGTGTGAATTTTCGAGCATAAATCGGCATCGAAACTTAAACCAGTGTTGATTTCCTTTGAAGTCTCTATACATTCTGGGCGTATAATCTGCTGAACCTTCTGAACCCTCTTGATTTTTCAAAGGTTATTTATTTAGGATATTCACAAATGGCAGTCGAAGAATTCGGGCAGTACCAGAACATCTTTCTTATTTTCCTTTACAATTTTTTAGAATGATCAAATTCCTTTCTACTATTGCTATCTATATTGCTTTATTAGTTCCAAGCAAGACTTTAACTTGTCAATTTTAAGAAATTTTGTCACCATCAGCGTCTAAATGATTTATTGGTTTGAAAAGTGCCATTGGATCTCCTGATCGCTAATTAAATTTGGTGAACAGCAGTTTGGTCTAAAAGAAAAAATTGCAAATTGAAGCTAAAAATAGAATGAATTGGCATTTATTGTACCGCCGTCTCAAGTTTGCTCAAGTGGGAGTAGGGAGGGGGGAGGGTGGTTGAGGGATTCTGTTAAAAATTGTCGTCAATATGTCAAATTGTCTTAACGGAATAAGATAATCTTAGACAAAATTACTTTATTAGCAAACACTCAGTTAAATTAATAATTCAATTTGAGCGTAATTAGCAGGTCCACTGGACAAAAGGATGGGATAATAAGCTGTTGCCAATTTCTACTAATTATGGAAAACACTGGCATTAATTACTACAAGTTATTTAAGAAACTGTGTACTAAATGCATATTACTATAAACGATAAGCGATTGTTTTCAGTTTGCGCACATATTTTAATTTTTGGAGGTAATCGAACGTTTTCTGATTGAATCAAGTCTTCATATTCCAGGGTCAGTTGATGATTTCGTGAATTTTGAACGACCGTTAAATCACTTTAGATATAGCATAGACATGGAAAGAATGAACGCACTTAACGCTAGTCAAGTATGCTATAACTCACAAAAATTTATTTATAATTAAAAAGAAATTAAGAGAGAAAAATACGTGTTAAAGTGCATATATTATTAATTATGCGCCAATTAAACCTTTTCGAGGACGTAAAAAGAGATATGCCGAGACACTTGGTGATTTTTTTATAAAACAATTAAAACTGAAAGCATTTCATTACTTAGTATGTAATTCAAGCTATTTGTAAGTTGGAAGTTATAGTAAAGCTTAAGTTGAATGTTCGGACATACATAAATACACTCTGAGTTTGCAAACTCTACATAATTTTCATGAAAGTGAGCTCTGTGTTACAGCAAGAAGTGCTGATAGCAGTGCGGTAAGTATTTAAGAATAATTTGTACTAATAGTAATGAACTTAGATATATTTAAGAAAAATTCATCTCTGAAATCAAACCCATTGGAAAAGAGCTGAATATCTAGATTTCTGTGTGGCTTAATTAAAATTTTGCATTAGGAAAATTAACCGATATCTCAAAAATATTAATTTTCGTTTGGAAAATTTTGGTACTGATAGATCAATCTTGCTTCGTCCCAAAATCCGCATTTGGAAGCACGCACCAATAGTAATGCGAGATAATATGACCACCCCAACTCAATACTCACATTTGATTGGCTTTTTTCTTCCAACTCCGATATATAGTTCCAATCTCCGTGATATCTTTTACCAGTTTTGGAAGATCATATTAAAAAAGTAAGTCATAGTAAGTTTCTTCAGTGGTCGTAAGATAGTCATTCAACATTCCTGGAATTATTTAATGTATCAAATTTTTTTTGGAATTATATGTCATTTTATGCTGCTTCGCAGTGAACCACTCCTTGTGTTGTAGGCAAAGAATGTTTCTCCTATCTACACAATTTTCAATCTGCTTGATGGTCATATTGGCCATTCTGCTTCATCCGAACATAGCAAGTGTCAACTTTGATGATCGTCGACTAGCAAAAGCTCTTCGACAGAAACTGTTGGCCTCCATCTCCCACCCTTTAAATGATGAATTCGATAATGTAAAACGAGCCGACGCTGATCTCACTGATCGCATACTCAATGATCCTGCTGCTCTAAGGGACTACCTTCGACAGATTAACGAATATTTTGCGATCATTGGACGACCAAGGTCAGAGTTTGCCAGCTAATTGAGGCTTTTATTGACTACGATCACTTTGAAATAAGTATTCTTTAATTTTTAGATTTGGCTAATTGAAACAACGCAAGACGCTAAAAAGACTTTGTGTTGTATTGTTATGCGGTGACTATAAATCTTCCATCGGGAATCGGTGAATTTGGAATAAAGTGCATATTTTCTACAAAAAAATTTGACTTTTTACTCACTTCGAATATTCATTGGCAGCTAACATATTCTTCTGAGGATAAATAATAGTGACTATATAGGTGTACATTATCAAACTCGAATTCCCAATAATTGATTATTAGTTTAATCTCGTTGTTAAAAAGCTAGTGAATAGTTTCTTATATACAAGTGAATATATGTACTTGCTTCTATGTAAATATCCTTAGTTTTAAAATTTGTCTCGAATTTTTTTCACTTTGATGTTCCTTCTCCTCTGTGAAGCCTGAAGTCAACTAAAGGGCTAATGATAATTATTGAAACACCTGCCATTTGATATTAATTAATATTCATCAAGAGGTGTTGGATTAAGAAGATAAGAAAACCCTAAATGAACAAATTCAAGATTACTTTAATGCACTTTTGGCTGTATTCTAGACGTGACTTTGAACAAATATTATTTTTGACTTTTAAGTTGTTTATAAAAGGGTCTTGAAATTTCAGCAGATTTATTACTGAAAATAAAATATATATTGCCTACAGGAAGAAAAAAAATTCGCAGAATTAAATAGTCAAATGCAGGCAAAGACAATAATAATAATAGCAATGAGTTCTTTGCAAGAAATAATGACTATTTATGAAGACTTAATTATTTTTTAATTTAAACAATTCATCAGTGATATTAGATTTGGGCTCACAATTAAATATTCCTTAAAACGGATATTTATTTTTTCAGATTTTGGCGAATTAATATTGTTCTTTACTTTCTTCATCGATTCATAATCTATTTCTGGTTTCAACATAGTTATTTCTTATCGTTAAATCATTTTCATTTGAGCATCGAAATATTTTTTGGAGTGAGTCGAGCAGAAACTGGCTCTTTCAATGTTTGGTGTTGTTTACCTACAACACGGCTTCTCAATTGTGCGCTATCTTATCTTCAAATAATTTTGCTGTCGTTACTATTTAATAAAAATGAATAATCTTCATATTTATATTAAGGGAGTAAGTTTCACAATTGTGCGGCTTTTCCCACATTCATCATCTTTAATTCCATCTATTGATCTTGTTTCAAAAAAATTGACAGTCTCTTTATTCTATTTCATCTTATTACCAAACAAAATGCTATATCATTGCTAGCTTGTCTGGTATTAGGAACCCCTGGGCTATATTTAACGCCCTAACGTTCTCAACTCATTTAAAGTTGACAGTAGAAAATAGTGCTTGGTCTCCTATTTTTTACCAAAATGAAATCAAAATATGATCACTACGAAAAAATTGTATTGCTCGAACACTGGGAAGTAAACGAAGCAGTCCGTCAGGTGTTAAATGGAATAAATCAATAGAATATATATAGGCGAGATTCAGCAGACTAATAAAATCTTAAGATATTCAACTACTAGTTCCATGGAGGGTAACTTCCGCTTTTCAGGTAGTCTATTGATATATTAAACACATTTCAAAATTTTCTTTCTATCTATTACAAAAGCTTTTGTTTTCTAATAGCCAAGATACTGGCAAGAAATTGGTTTAATATTTTCACTTAATTATTATATAATAAAAATTCGATATTATTATTCCCGATATTGGATGAAAGCACCCATAGTTTCTAAGACATAATTTTGAGAGTAGATGCTAACATTGGCTAGTAATCAGTGCCAGATATTCTTTCAATTTGATAATCGATTTTATCCAATTATTTTATTTCAGCATACTATTAATTTTGCCCTGTTCATACCAAAATATTCACTACATGAAATGCCTTTTTTACTTTTTCTCTTTGTGGAAAAGCACGTTTCCGTTTGGATGACAAACAGGCAAATGCGAATACCAGAACAAAAAGCTATTGATATCTTGACCACACATTCATCAACTAACTTCAAAAATTCGTTCAGTTTGTTTTACCTTTCAAAAATATAATTTCCTAATTTCTTCTTTTATCTAAAAATCAAGTTTGGGTAAAGGTTTTGATTACCCTGATGCCATGGAGAAAATTTTAAAACGATTTTAGCCATTATTATTTGTCTATTTTTTTAACTATATTGATAAACGCCCTGGTCATAATGAATTATGAACACTGGGGTTTATTTGAGAATCGAATAAGGATTTTCTTTTTCATCGTTTAAGTTAGTTATAATGTCAGCGAGATAATTCGCAAAATTTGTTGAAACCTGCCGCTTTTAAACTCGAACTATCTGTAGTTTAGCGTTGCCCACATGAAATTGAATACATAAATAAATGAAGGAAAAACTTCATTTTTCAAAGTTACTAAAAAGCATTAATTTTAAATAATTAGTAAATTTCGTTAGCTATTGATGAATTTAAAGGTATTTAGAAGATTAGGGTACTGTGTTTGAGAATGAAGCAGCACAAATTATGTTGATGTGAGGTCACTTTTCTAAATTTTTAAGCATCAACTCGAAAAAATATGATATTTTCTTACTTAACATATCTGTAGATTATCTAAATTTGATAAGTTAATTAATTTTATGATTAATTTTTATATTTTTAAAAACGATTTTGCTGCTGCCACGGGTGCTGTCACAGTTGGAATTTTGTTACAAGGGTTAGAACTTGATGTGAATAAGTGGCTCACATTTGCTATCCATATAAATTATATCGGGAAAAAATCTCAAGAAACAGGCTTCATTTTCTCTCATTCTTTTTGGGGGGGGGAGGTCTGCATAACTGCATAAATAATTTATGCGTTCTTCTTTCACTAAAGAACATTGTAAAGACTGGTTGACTTATGATTGTCATCTGGGATGTGCGATAGACTTAACTCCACGTGGTTCATCCTGGACAACGTATACCCATACGACAAAAAGTCTAAAAACCAACAGTTGACTTCTGACTTCAAACTACCATCACCATACTGTATGCTATTCCACAACTATCACAGTACTTACCTTACCTTTTTCTTTACCTTTGCGTCTGTCTGCCTCCTTTACATCTGGGAATCACTCTTCTGTTCCTCCACGCGAATTATTGTGACTTTTTCTATACCTCCTCTCTGTGAAGCCCTAAGTCAACTAAAGGGCTAATGATAACCACCATAAAGTCTGCCATTCGGTATAAATTATTGCCATATCGATACCGTTTTGAGCCTTGCAACTTTTCTGACAATTTAAATTTCCATTACTTTCCTAAGTTTGTTAAAAATTTGAAAACTGGCGATTATTGGTGAAATTCTCGGAATGCTCGGATTAAGTGCTAATGCCACGTTAGAGGGTATTGGTAAGAATCAATGGAGTTTTAGTGAGCTCAATTGGGTCATTGGAATTTCAAGTAGAGTGGTTCAATCCCCCCTCCCCCCTTCCCTAAAGCTGTCAATGAACGCTAGTTTCCAAAAGAATAACACATTTAGCTTTTGAAGTTCAACATGTACGAAACATTTTGAGATGAAGAACTAATTCCACTAAAAGAGTTACTCTGGAATTTGAAACCATAATCAGTCAGGTGACCGAACCAAAAGTCAGCTTGAAGTAGGATATGAGGCGAACTTGAATCTTTCAGAAAAATTCCCACGAACTTCCCACGCAGAAAGGAAGTGAAGAAAAGACAACAGAATTCTAAGCGATTATCTGGAGTAGTCATTGGATCAAAACCCTTCAACGCCGAATGAGGCAGTTCTTATTTAAAGTTGTGTGCGGGGGGGGGGGAGTTATTCCAAAGCATTATAGGCTGAACTCAAGAAATTCTGGAGGAAACCTGACTGGAAATCTCTTATGTAGGCTAATAATGGGAAGTAATGGTGTGAAGGTGAATAAATCACCTTGCTAAGGAATAAGTCGTTAAGACTGAATATGTTTCATCAGGGGGAATCTGGGCGAACTTGAGGAAAAATTTCAACTTGGAAATCGAAGCTTACAAAATCGGAGTTAAAAGAAAATAATTCCGTATTTATTTAATATTTTGACTTAAGGAAATGAATTTAGGATTATTTAAAATAACGATTTGTCCTCGAATTCATCATATGAATTTACGTGAACTAAACATAGATCAAGCTGAATTCCAGCTTATTGTTTGCACTAACAAGGGAAACTCGTGTTTAACTTTCTATTCGGATTGGACAGCACAATTTTGATAGTAAAAAGTCGTCTTTTTCTAATTAATTCAAAACTATATTAAAAATAAAATTTCCATTTTATCTAAACTAATTTTTGTTCCGGGTGAATTTTTGACTTTCAGAACTCTTTTTATTACATTTAATAAAATTGTTTATATTGGATATCGGATGATTTCAATAAATAAAGTAGTTTTACTGTAAATTAGCAATTTTGAGACTTACCGTTCATTGAACCTCTAAACGAAGCAAATTGATGGAGACAAACACGAAAAAAGTAGTTGAAATAACTCTAAAATTGCCTTTTGTCAAAAGTCCTCAATACTTTTTGACAACAATATCTTTTTTTGACTTTTAACTCGGCTGCCATCAGATAGAAGGTTTTGAAACTTCTTAGATTTTGTTTCTTGGGCCAATTTTTTTACTGTTATTTGAACAATCACAACTGAGGGCATAAGCCGCAGATTTTTCGTCAATTAAATTTATTTTCAAACTCCCTGAGGCGCAACATAATTTTATAAAATAAAAATTTATCGACCACATTTTCGAAGTACATCTGGACATTTAAACTACCAAATATATATGGGCAGGAGAGCTTACTTCATCTCGATGGCCTTACCTTTCATCCTGTGAAAGCCTGACTGCTTATTGGCTAATTTTACAATTTATTGATTTATTTAGAATAACGCATTATCATCTATTATAAAATAGAGGAGTGATTTATAAAGCGTTGTAATATGAAATGTAGCTTAAATCGGTAAGTCAGAGTGGGGGAGGGGAAC